TATCTCATCGACCACGAAATTAAATTGAAATGAAGAGAGTGGGCACACCTGACGGATGCTTCTAAAGGAATGTCCTTCCACCATTACCTATCCGGAAGCCTGAGAATGCGAGAAAACCCATTATATTCGCAAACTTCCGTAACATTGCTTGCTTAGTACTCCTGCACTGCTCCGAATGCGCTTTTTGGATGTCTTCTTGCCTTCGTTGGACTCATAGACCTTGTCCGTCGGTTGGTGTACTGAACTGGTTTTGATGACGAGGATGGCGAGTGAGCATTCGTCTGATTTTCACGCTACTCCACGGATTTTCAGGTTGCTCTGAGTTTCCCACTAAGCATTAGCGCCTCACTGAATCTGATTAGTGCTCACTGCCGGCTAACAGAGGACCCTAGGCTCTCATACCATGTTCGAGGCTGAGTAATCCTACGGGTTCTCGCTAGGTTAACAGAAGTTGAGTGAAGTTCACCGTCTCCAGGACGAAAGTGGTGCCCTATCGACCGTAGAGACTCATATGGGAGGCTACGATGTTCGAGGCTGAGTAATTCTACGGGTTCTCGCTAGGTTAACAGAAATTGAGTGAAGCTCACCGTCTCCAGGATGAAAGTGGTACCCTATCGACCGTAGAGACTCATATGGGAGATATATAAATATTTCTCAAATTTGTTGTCTACTCGTGAAATTCTAAGAAATACGAACCAGTAGTCATTATCAGAGTAATTGAATTGAAAATAAACACTATTCCGTTTTGCTAACACCCATACTTGTGGGGTAGAAATTCCCGCTATCTTGACGATTAGGAATGACTGACTGTAAACCAATCAAGGTCACCATTCACGAAGATATTTTATATCGTGTGCACGAGAATGAGAGATACTACTAACAACCATGTGTTGTTTCATCTCCTGCCTTCGATTTGCCGCTGTCAATCTGTATTGTCCGGACAAATGGAACATTTCGCGTGTCCCACCTGTGTGAGTAACGTAGCTGGTGAGTCGAACAATTGATTTTTTGAGGACTACAAACTATTATCCTTTCTAAACAAGGTTTTGTTTGGAGAGAATAACAATGGAATGGAATGTCACGCTGTCTCTGTGGCAGTGTCCTTATTTGGGGAATCGTGGTGGGAGGAAACACCATGAACTTTTTGTAATGTACTACTCATAAGGTTGCTGAAAATTCGTCGAACTTATGAGTAGTACATTACAAGGATATACATGTATCGCGATATCTCGTAGCGATATTGTAGCGACTGAAACATGAGGCGGCCTGGTGCAGCACATTTGGTTGCCTGGAAACATCACAAACGAGAGATTCACCTGGGTTCCGGGTGAGTCTCTCGAAAAACCAAATTAGTTTGCAAATGAGTGTATTTCGCTAACCATGAACTTTGTTCCAATACGTATGTTGTTTTTGTTCATTCTGATTGATTCTCAGAAAGCCCAGAACTGGATGATCTATTTATTTGTCTAGATTCAAGATAGCTTTCTCGGTTTCAGTGCCGAACATGTTTAGAGGACTAAGGTGAAAAACCATGGTCCACAACCGTTTCACGCAAGGATTCTTTCGCAGGCGTCTTCAATTTAGTGACGCAGTGAAAATATCGGGTCCCAGGTAACCTGTCCTGCAGTCTTTCCCATCACTTAGAGTCAACGCATGCTTGGGGAATCTGCCCGGTATGCTTGTTCGTGCGCTGTAATTGAGACAGTGGACTGTCCCTCAAGAAAGTGCTTTCCGTAGATCCCAAAATGTCCCTCAAACGAACATTTTATCACAGGGGGTGAGAAGGTGACCAAAAACAACCGCTTTTAATGCTTTGAGTTGAAGAGATTCCCCCTCATCTTTTGTCAGGATAAACCAGTGTTTTCTTTTTGGTCTGAGGTGAATGCGCCAGTCACTGAGTCTTCTTGAGGGCGATGGTTCAGGCTACATCTTGGTCAATGTGTCTGAAGGTCGTCATAAAAACTGGACTTGGACGAGAATCATCAGGCACGATAATTCCTCTCAGGTTATGGCAACCACGAGAACTATTCAGCTATTCATCCATGTTTTGTCCCCTCCTTCAAGTGAACTACCCTCAGTCGACATTCCAGTTATGAACTGTCCAAGCAGATGATGGTGGACTGTCAGCGAAGACAAGTTAAGCCATGTCAAAATGAAGTCGTGAACACAGATGCTAAGTACACCGGCGGTAGTCACCTGAAAAAGGGCAGCATCAATGACTTGAGCCGATTCCATTCTGGTGCATCTTCTTGGGGGTGAATGAAGCAGCCAGAAAATCGGGTACCACCCGGTTTCAAAGAGCTTGATTTCCGAGGAGGGGTTAAAATGTAGGTAGCATTCTCGGGAGGTTCCATCAAAGCAAAACGAAATGCTTAATACATTCGTCTGCTTACCGCGTTGGTTTTGACAAGAGACTCGTATGGAAACCAGCTGGACCTCTCGTTTATGAAGTGCTGCACCAGGCCGCCTCATGATATTTGAGATATCGCGATACATTGATTCAATGTAATACACTACTCATATGATTGCTGAAAACAATTCGATAGCCAATGACCAGTTCTGACCTTCTTTGGGCTCATTAGGAAGGCTCAGCCCGTAAGATTCCGTTAATCCTACCTTCTACTTGAACCCTAATTGCACGACCCTCATTTGTAAAACATTTCGCTCTTCATGGGATTGAATCCTATCCGCAGCATTAGTACTTTATTCAACCTGAACTGGAAGTAAACGGGGTTCACGGAATGGTTGAAGACAACCTATTCTGTTGCGGTCATTTTAATCGCCGTCATGAAATTCCTGAGAGGAGTTGAATGCAGACAATTTCCGTTGAGTTGACATAACCTGTGGTCAAACTGATACGACGTTCACTCTCTGTGAGGAATCTCCAGGCAAGTAGTACTTTCTAGAAACTCTCTGAATTCGGTGTTCTTCTTACAGACAAGAAAGGTGCAAGAAATTCTTTTGACTCCTACACATTTATAGAAGGAGACACGTCGAAAATATGCCACAGCATTTCTGAGACCATAAACGGAACAGTTGGAGGGGATGAGAACCGCGAATTGCTTAATCTGACTTTGTCAATCTGCTTCGCGTTCACTGGAGAATATTACGAATAAGTCAAAGGAGCGCAAATGGAATCAAATCTTACAGTTGATTGGGAACGTCCCAATGAAAAAATGGGATCAATCTGTGCCACCCAGTATCGAATCAGGCCACAAAGCAAGATGGAAACGGACCAATCAAAACGGTTGAGCAGAAGTTTTGAATCAAAGGCGCACAGCGAACCAACCACATACAGAGAAAAGATACCACAACGTAACTCACATTCCAAGCTGATCACAGATTAGGCGAGACCAACGTGACCAACGGCAAAAAAATAACTGACACCGTCAACTCCAAAGATGAAAAATTTGCAATCTAACTACGAAGCTCGGTGAACCTACCAACAGCCCCTGTGTCATGTTTCTTGGTTCATCCGTGGCACAAAATCACCAGGATAAACAGCTGTGTGTCTGCGTGAATCGTTAATTCATTTCATCAAAACCCTGAGAAGATATACTTGATGAAATGCTAACGTGTACCAGTTTGCATGCTTGTGAACTCTTCTCAATGTCTAGTGCTCACTGATCTGTTTATTTAGAGCGGTACTCATAAGCCTATATTGTAGTTCACCTAACGTCACAGGACAGTTAGACTTTCCACCTACTGAAACATCTTGGAAGATGACTTCCACCAAAGAGAACCCGTTATCGTGTGTTTGGAAGGAAGTGCTTTCCGGTCAAAGCAACTTTAGAGTTTCATTCTAGCGACTGTTATCTCAACGAGTGATTTGTTCCCAGGAATCACTGTGTCCCGGACTTGTTGAAACATAACACAGACACGTGAACCCCAAAGAAGATACAGCCGTGAGCGTCTTCCTCACTCCATCGTTGATGTGTCAAAAACACTTGTACGGCGCTCTGGGTATACATGGTTTTGACTTGAAGATATATTATAAGCGAATTCACCAAAGACGTTTCTTCAGGGTGTCACGTGCTTCTTCCACACTGCGAATTATGCTCAAAATAGCACATTAGAAGGCCGTTTTCGACCTCCCCAGTCCATCTTGGCTCACCAGGGACTTTCTGTTCCAATGCTTCTGAGAACCATGTAATCTTTCCAAATGCTGTACGCTTTGTAGACATCACATTGGGTTGGTCATTCAAATGAATCGTGAGAGGTGAAACAGGTATTGAACATCACCCCCTGTTGACACAAGGCCATGGAAAAAGAGCATCAAGATCCAGTGGAAATTTTCCTCCGGTGTCTGGACAGTTGTTGCTAGGCCCGCAGTCTGCTGATTCTGCGATGCAGTGCACGCTTGCGTTGGAAGTAAAAAGGATTGCTGTTTACTCTAACCTGACTGTGGTTTCTAAACTCGGCATCTTGATTGCGGTGATGAATATTTGGTTTAAATAGACATTGTTTGAAATTGCATGGACGTACCTGACAGAGTCGTTGAAATATGAAGCTCTAGTGTCGTTTGACATGTCAGCAGCTTCCACCTGTTGATTGAAGTACCTGGCTTTCGACAACCTAAGAGACAGCACTCACAATTTTACACAGTTAAAAAGGTGCTGCGCTGAAAAGATTCTCCCACACTATAAGACTCAGGCTTGTCCTGTTAAGATAATGTCGCACGAACCGCGTGCTGAGCTATACTCAACGTAAAAATTAATGTCCTTGATAATTCTTGGAAATGATTTTTGTAAGAAAGAAATACTCAGCGTTATAAGCCAAGGATCGTGAATATGCTGTATAGGCTTGCGGACAAAAAATACTGTTTTTCAGGTTTTGATGTAACTCGAGTAATAAGGAGTGAACTAAGGCAAAGAAAACAATTTTTGAAAACAGCTTTTCTGTCTACAGGCAGCTGGCGAAAATTCGTCTTCCACAAGGATTTTTTGGAAGCCACATGCAAGTTTTATGTTAGTGGACAGTTCAACGGTGGACAAACTCACCTTCACGACTTTCGTCCGTTAAAGTTAGGCAATGAAATTCGAGCCCAACGCCCGATGGAGCCTCACCCGACTCACGTAGACTGGTGATTAGTCTTGTCTTTCCCACCTGTTCACCGCCTAATATGACAAGTTGGGGGCCTGCCGAAGCTCCACATGTTCCGTAGGACTTGTGTCTGTTTTCTGCATTTGCATGAACTTCTTCCAGTAACGATGCCCTTTGAAGTAGAGGAGATAAAAAATTAAGTTAAAAGAATCGAACAGAAATGCTGTAAACTATAGACCGGCTAGCAGTTTGTTCTGGTGCTAATTTGTCAAGCGAACTAGACAAGAGGTAATTATGTTGCAACTGGGCTGAATGCATTCCAGAAGTACAGACCACACAGATCACAAGATCCTCATAGCCCGAAAAGCTGTCTCACATTGCTCTTTGATGTTTTTTGTAGGATTAGAGACCAAACATTCAGTACTAGCTTACAAATCTCCATTTGTAGTGGAGTAGAGTGCTAAAAGGTTGTCCTTGTTGTCTGAGATTGCATTATTATCGGTTTATCAACACAATCCAGTACCACATTGGTCAGTGAGGATGAAGGTCTTTGGTGCGAACAACAGGGTGATCAGATTCTGTGGTCAGGTAGCCGCGTCCACATGATTGCATGACACAAATGAGGGACACGAACCTAAGTTGCGATAGCGTTAGTCAGACGGCAATTTAGGAGTTGAATTTTGGATAAGTATGTGCTAGTTTATCATGGGCCAGCGAGTGTCAGAGGTCAGATTTCGAACAACAATACCTGCAGCCAAATCCGCGCTAACATCATGCCAACACTGTCCGTGAGTGGCATCACAATACCCTTTATCGCCCAACAAATCTAACGGGATTCCACAGTAAAAAGGAATTAAATNCAGTAGAAAGGAGTTAAATGGGACTCAATCAGCAGGAATGACATAATTGGAGGATATGTGTGGGATCTAAAAAGGAGTTCGGGTTTGTGACCACAGACTACCACCCGTTAACCGTGATAAATCCAAAGGCTCAAGGTGTAAAATACTTCTCAGTTTTAGACACTGCTTTCGCGTTGCTCGTAAAGTTGATCCTTAGTTTGTGAGTTATTTGGTGCTCATCTTGTTTAGCAATTTTTCCCACCAAAAACTCAAAATGATCGCCCTCAACTTTTAAACCGAAACGTAGCACACGCTGATAAAATAAGAGAGAAAAGTGAGGGCAAAACAGAAATCTCAGCATCTCAGGAAGGAAAGTAATTCACACAACTGAGGAGTCAACTGAGGAGTCAATCGGCAAGTGACCAGCTAATATGCAGTCCTTGATTCAAGAATCAACGGTACCATATCCTGACCGAGTCACCCTGCTGATCAGTAGCTTGTGGTCGAACGGTTAAGTCTGCAGTTAATAACATGAAGGTTGCTAGTTTGAATTACTCTGAAGATTTCTCTTACAATGTTCTCTTATACAGAGCCCTTCCGCTTTATTAAAACTGCTTGGGCTGACAGCCAGCTTATTTAAACCATGCTAACGTGAGCAGCAAGTTCATTCTGATAATCTGGTAGTGGTCCATGCAATTGTTAAGACACGTAGACCGGTCAGCGGCCTCAAGCTTGCTAGCTTAAAGTTTCACGAGGGCACCAAGAGAGTGAAAATCCTAGAGCAATCCCAACTCTTAAGGCTCTGGTCTACAAGGGTGTATAACACACAAAATCCGATATAACTTGACTGCAATCTGATGGGATGCATCCTTGCAAGGGTCTCAGCCATTCACTTTTTATAACTACCCCACTATTACTGGAAATCCGTAAAGTAAAGAGTTGCAACCGGATTGGCCAAAGTATGCACAGAACGGGGAGTACCAAGCCAACAGCGCTTAGGTTGCACAAGGTATCCAACAGCACTGATACTACGTTAAGTAGATGCTAGCAGCAGACAAAAATGCAAATAATAACCTCTATCAACCCTTATGAATGGAACGTATAAGAAATAAAAAGCATTTTATTGTGTAGAGCTCCTCTGAACATTGCATGCATTCTTGGTTTCCACACATTCAAAAGTATACCGACCATTGGGACAAGTAGAAACCGCAAAAAATATGAGAAGCAAAACATTTTAAAAGTCAGGTTTTGTCGTGTTATGTCAGAGATTAAGAGGATAACTGATGTTTTCGCTACTAAGCGCTTTTTGGTGGCCGCTCTGCTAAACCCATAGGAACATGTAAAGGACTCATCAGGTATATCTGGACTGTAGTTAGCAGATGAAATATCAGGGTGTTTGGACAAGCGTGCAATGATTACAACAAGGTTTTCTGTGTTTACTTGATGACTGCAACCAAAACACTTGACTTATCCGATAAATAAACCTCAGATGCCTACAAGCAGTTAGTTATCAGTGACGTCTGTGACACTGCTTGTGCATGCGCCCACCATATGAAGAACTCCCCACATGCCTTCACCTTCCAACAACCTGCTGCTAACATTTTCAGTTGTCTATTATGGGACTGAAGACTGAGCTAGCCTTTTATACTTCCATGGAAGCGATTTCATAAAACATGACCTGATCCTTATCGGACTTCGTTTTGGAACTGTATTTCTACTCAGTCTCAGTGTCAGTTATCAATGAGTGAACTTTAAACTTCGTGTTACGTTCCGGGGCCGTTGATGAAAATAAAAATTTAGAGGATGGTTAGTCAAAAGCCACCCTCCTTGTTGAATATTTGACTTTGTAATTATTGGGGTGACAAGCATTGCTTCCTACTCCTGATAAATCTCTTCGCGCCGCGAACAAGAAACGTTGACTTTTATGCAACATTTGGACGTGTGCAAAGTGTTTCCTTAAGATTAAGTAGGCAACACAGTGTAACTGTTTTCGCAGGCATTGTGCTTTACGACTGAAGGGTAGCCACTATCAGACCATTTTAAGAAACTGGTGATAATCACCCCATAGTGAAGCCTTACGCGTTTGATTGCCAGACATATAGAATTTGACCAATCAATGGTAGACCAACAGCATGCTCAAAATCACTAAGCCCAAGTTCGTTAACTTATAGTCATATACATTCTATGTCTCGAAGGTCAGAGAATACTGAAATATATTTTGGAAAGAATTCGTAAAGCGGTGTTCACCTTTTCCAACTCTATTGGGATTACAACGTTGTAAACAAAGAACATAATATCAGGAAGGTCAGATTCCTGAAAGCAATTTCAGAACGCCCGGAACCTACTGCTCCACCAAAAGCTCAACTGGAACCCAACTGGAAAGCCGGCAAGCATCCAGGCCAGTCAATCATTCAATCAATTCAGCAAGACCTGATGAGTGTTCCTGCGGCCACAGAAGCACGACCGAATGTGATCAGCGTTCAGGCTTTTCACAGAGGTACGATTAATGTTGATGGGTGATCACTAACGCCTCTCAGACAGCCTGGATCAATGTCAGAAAGTCCCCTTTAAATAGCGTGGGGCCGTTGTAACTTTTGCTCTCGCACTCGCACTCTTACTCACTCGCTTGTTCGGAATACAGCTATTGTCTTCCCTTCTGTGAGTCTTTTCTCTCCGACACTAGGCACTGGAGCGGGTCAGCAGCAGATACCAACAGATCGACGAATCTGCAGATATAACACATATAATTCAAATGCCCTAAGAAAATAACTTCCTGACGGCTGTGTTAACCTATTTCGTAACTGTTGAACGACTGGGTGCTTTATCTAAATATTAATTAAATTTTAAAGCGGGTGACTTTTCATGCATATTGCTTGTGGATGTTATTAGAATGAGACAGCTGCTTGTTCTTGCTCTATATTGTAACAGGATTGTAAAACTATCATGCCAGTAGGTGGTAAGCGTAGATTCAGGATAAGCCTCAGTTACATAAACCAAAGGATGGCAACATATGCTTCTATCAGTGCCCACAGAGACTGTGTAACGTGATCATGGCTATCCTGCAGGTCTAATTGCTAACCCTTCCGTTAGTAGCAGAAAAAGGTACCTTCTGAAGTTAGAATTTCAGTTCAAGGCAATCTGGCTTAGCACAGCAGCGACTTTTGTCAAAGAGAAAAACCTCTAGCACAAAAAGTGAGTAACCGCAGGGATAATTTCAGAGTTGGCCAGCTAAATTTACCTTGGCAGTTGGTTTTGTTTACGTCCGTATACCGCTAAGTTTAAATGAATCTGGAGTTAACCTACAAGTCCTTGATTTGTTTTCTTTATCCTCAGTTGGAAGATTTACAGGAAACCGACGTTTTGCCTTAGGTAGAACAACCACGATTAGGAGCAGCGTTCCAGATGTGACATTTCAAAGGCAGAGCATAATGTGACCCATATGGTGGACTGGCTTTCATGAGCATTTAAACAACTCTCCTGATATGGTGGTCGCCATTTGCATATGGTGCTGTAGGTTTGAATATGGATACAACAATTCTAGGACCTTTGGCTTCTACATATGTTATCGGAAAACGCTCAAAATGTTTGATTCTCAAGCTAAAATGTCCCATAAGAACTGGAGTGAAAATTTTATCCAAGTCCTCTCGTTTTATCGTTGGTGTTGTATGTGTTAATAAGATTTATGTTATCAGAAAACGTGAGGCAATATTTATTTGATTTCACAGGTAATTCATCAATGTGGGTGTTGAATGTCATCGGCTGTGAGAGAAGTCCTTGAAAACTCCCGTGCAACTGACAACCTTAGTCTGATTTCTAATGCACTACTTCCGTGCCACCGCCAACGCATTTCGGCTTTCATTTGCTAATATTCAGTCCCCCTGTTTACTGTTCTCCATGGGCCATTCTTATGCCACACAAAAGAACAAAAACGCTTCTAGGAAGCGCAAAGTTAAATCTGAGAAAGTGAGGTGTATTTTCATTTAAAAGAAGATTATTTTTTAAAATTAGACATAACCGAATCCCGGTGTGTTTCTTGTAACACGGTATTGTCTGACTGTGTCATGTTCTCTGACATACTGCTTGGACCCTTTTGTGAGCATGACAGAACCAACCTTTCAGTTTTATTACATGCAACCCGACCCACTCTTCCTGGAGTTTTAATTTTTTCGCAGTTCTTGGTGGCTGTCTTGGCATAGGAGGTGTTTGGCGAGTAGTCTTTCTTATGCCAAATTTCTATGCTATATTAAGGGTTAACTACCGCACACTCATATTGATTTTAGGTGGTTACAGGTACATGGTCAGTTAGCACGTTAAATTTTCATCACTCCAAATAAATCATACTTTATACGTTATCCTACACACCTTCTTAATTTAATGGCACACGGTGAAACGTTTTCTGTTTTTGACATTTTTGTTGTACCTGTTGATGCTAATGACCTTTGGTTAGCCAAACAATAAAACAGACAAACGGACACCAAACCGTAATATTTACCGGGAGACAATGTTGGACTCGCCTTCTGCTAACTTATTTGTGTCAGTTTGTCGTGTATTTTTTCAGAAAGTCCTGAACAGCGTGTTCGCCTTCAGTTATCCAATACCGCGTTAACGAACACATCTATTACCACGACCTTTAGATTTTTATTACCCGTGAGAATTTCGTGAAAGTTTCTGTATGATTTCAATTAAAATAGCAACCTCAAGTTGCTTTATGTGCATTGCAACAGTGCTTTGTTCCAAATGCACTCCACATTTGCCTGATTTATAACGTTTTTCATTATGTAACCTCCTGTGGCTTGCTTTGTTTCTACATGCATAAGATGCCACTGTTGACGACACATATCAGTTATACCTAAAGCGCCATCCAAATACATAACTACACAGTACTAAATGAGACACTTATTGTTCGAGGAGAGTTATCACAAGAGAAGAGAACGAGAAATTCTTTGTGAGGTTGTACTTATCACAACAGCCCGCGTTAACATATGCGCACACATGTACTTGCATACATGCTGTAGCATGACAAGTGTGTCCCTTCTACCGAACTCTGTTACAAGCCAGTGTTAGCTCACCATCACTGTCACCATTCGTTGTCGCCTGTAACAGGGCTACGCCATCTCAACATGCATACACAGGGCACTTCCGTGATTTTTAGAGAGCTAACTCGGAGGGGGGTTATGTTACATAGGAATTATATATGATTTGAAGTTATAATACACTAAATATTGTACAGGGACCACGATCATTGGTACACAGCACGTCACACCACACTCTGTGGCGTTTTATCCCCTAGACAAGTCAACTAGCAGGTATGAAAGCTGGTATGAAGAACTTCAACATTCATCAGATGTCCTCTGCAATAGCTAGCTTCAGATACACCGCGAGCAAAGTCTCTTATATAAACTTAATGTGGAAAATATCCTGAATAGTCTTGCAAAAACTATCACTTTACCAGATGCCAACTTTTGCTTCTTCGTTATCGCGCATTTTTACGGTTAAATGCGCGGTCAACTCTGGTGTGACCTAGACATATGCAACCATTGCAATAGCTCAGCTCACGTCAGTTTGTTATGGTTGGATATTGAAAGCAGACAAAATACCTCTGATCAGTTTCTTTGTACGACAAGGAAAGAACGATTGATCAGAGGGCTTTAAGCTCAAGCGTAGCACCTACGTAAATATTGTATGAAGACATATTGGGGACATTGCTGGTAATCGCCAACCGGCAGTACGTCCGTCGGAAATTTGGTCACAGCGGAGTTGGTTTTCCGCTCTGAAATGCAAGTGGAAGGCAAGCTGATTACGCGTAACAACACCTTATGTACGGAAACAAATTTCATGCCAAACTATCATCGTGGTATCACATGCCAAACCGGCTCCTTGTTCGTTTGCTCCATCCCTTTTCCAAATTCCGCTTGGTGCTGCGGACCGCGCCAAGGCTTTCCTCAGTGAACACGAATGCGTCGGGGGTAGTGAGTCTCAGTTTGTTGAAATAAAATGTTATCAGCCTTGAGTAGAATGACGATGTTCTCTCAATACCTATCTTTGGCATTCCAAACATGTTTGTGTTTCAAAACGCCACACTACTTCAGATAGCGGTCAGCAGCTTAACATTGAGCGTTCTTCATATCGTTCCTTCAGCATCTGAAATGATTGCATTCACTCGTGTTTCGCCTCACAACAGAAGAGTGCGTGCTTCTTTATCCTACCCATGTTCTCTTATCCGTGGCGTTATTCAACATGTTTGACCTCCGTCAGCGATTACTCGCTTTGTTTAGTTAAGCACGGGTTGTCAACCCTTCCTTACAACTGACTAATGCTCCTCTGCTGCGTACTCCGTAACAAAGCTTTATTCGTCGAGAGCTATGTGTCGCAATTTTCTCAGGTGGCTCTTCCAGAGCTTCACTCCGTTATTTTTCTGTATACATCGTATTCATATGGGTTCGTCGTGGTCAGGTCTTTTTCAACTTGTGATCCGACCACCACTATCGCGTGCTGCATATGGTCAGGAACCTCAGAGTGTACATCGTGTAGCGGGGTACTTGCAGTTCTAGAAGCTAACCCATTCGTTTCAAATACTGAGCTTATTTTCTTGCTGTGATGCGGGTGATGTTTTTTTAATGATCTCTGCATCATCGGACGACAAGATCGGCATTTTTCCTAGTGTCAAGTGTGATATGGTGGAAGGAGTAAATGTTTCCATTTTTAATGCTGATGTCATCTATTGATCCAAATACTTGGACTCTGAACAAGAACGTGGATCGCCTCTTGGTGTTCTACTAGGTAGATGGCTAGATGTCACTTAGATTTCCGAATTATACCCGGGGCGTCCACAGAAGAGGTAAGAGACATTCCGCGAAAATTCCCACCCAAAACACCCTGTCTGATCCTGAGCTACAATTATCCAACTCACGATCGTTTCGAACAATTAGCGCGAGCACAGGCTGTCAAATGATGAGCCTCTGAGACGGAAAGAATTCCATTCTGTTTAGTCCAACGTGGGGTTGATTGGTTGCAAAGTTCGGTGTGGTACATTCTTCGGTACGTGTTTTTGAGCCACTTGTCGCACACTATTACGACCATTTCCCATTAATCGTCAACTGTTTATTCATAGCGCGGCGGACGTTGTAGGTAATGCGATGGAACACTGCAAACCTCCTCCATTGCTGTCTCTTGTCTCCTGTCACGTCTCATTTTTGGATAAAAGGATAAGGGGCCGGTGTATAGCACCTACTGCAATAGCATACATGTGCGTCGATAACTCTGGGGTGTAAGGTTTTTGAACAATGACGTAGTAGCTTGCCCCACCAAGCAAGCTCTGCTTACAACATGGCCGTTATGGATAGCAAGTAAGGAAGTGTGCCGGACGTTACACTTGAAAATGTTTAAAGACTCCACTGCGGTGGAACGGCGCAGGTGGCTGTTGAACGTGACCACACCAGTCGGCCACCCCAAATATTTATTCTGTGCAGCTGGCAGGCGCAGTAAAACTGAGCTCTTTGTCGACACCAAGCGTAAGCGAATGAGGTGTTGCAAGATCCACTAAATGTTGGAGTCAGCAAATTCTTCGTCTCGCGTAATGTTCCACGCTCGCATGCTGGGGAACCACCATGGCCGTCGAAGTCACAAACCCTCAACGGCATTCAGAGACGTTTATGCGTCTCGATATTCCTGTGCCAATAAATCAAATCACCTTTGCCGAAAACCTTCGAGAATGCTCAGTGCCAATGACGATAGAAGGCAAGTCGCGCGTGTTCCCTGTTTCACACCCAAACGTCCGCTCTCTATTTTTCCGACCGTTTCAACAAGACCCTTCCAGACTATGGTATGATGTACCATACCAGCAGAACAACCAGTGTTGAGGTGACTCCACTGGTGTACGCGCATCTCAAAAGTCCTGCTCCATATGTGGTAAACACTAAAATTTCTCCAGCTGCTCGGCACCGGTGTTATCAGCTCTTCTGAGTGGCTGCGGGGGCCCTCCGCAGTGGGTCGTGAATCTTCCGAGTGGCTGCGGGGGCCCTCCGCAGTGGGTCGTGAAAAGAAATTTATTTGGTAGCATTCATGTGGAGACAGTTCTTCCAAAATATTATCGTGAATAAATGGCCACACCCCAGGCTATCTAGAAGACCGCTATCACCATTACATTCGGCTGCTTCAGATCTCTTCGAAGGCTAGCCGATTTGTGAACCTTGCTTAAGCCGTTTTGTTGCATTACATACTCTAATATCCGTTTGTTGAATTTTGTCCATTCGTTCTTGGATGGAAATTCAGCACAAAAATCCTTGTGACTATGTGATCCCGTCAGCAAAACTCGGTCACGTCAAGTGCCACTAAATGCCAGCTAACTGCATCCCGCAGTCCATTTTTGACCATGTTACCGACTTCTGTGCAGCAGGCGTGCTGAGGTTAAATGCTATTTGTGTGATTCCTGTACGATATATGCTGGCTGACCTCTGGAGTTTCCTTTCTAATGAGGACTTTATTCGCTTGATCAGACAGATTTTTATGCATGACTTGTGCATCACTACGAAACGTCAAAGCGGTTAGCGTCGCCGATGCTATTTAACTGCCTTTAATGCGGTTGAAGAAGCTAACATCAAAGCAGGTCCGCTTTGTGAGATCAGGCACCATTAAGCATCACAGCTCTAGATGCTGCTGTAGGTGGAGCGCTTCGATCAGGCCTTAGTGATGCCCATCATTCGAACCCTTTTTTCCGACACCTAAATAAGCTACAGCATCTGACAACATACTCCGCTTTCGGCGCTCACGACACTCCTGCAGTATCAGACCATTCAGGACAGTCAGTGACTATGAGCTCTTCACACATCACGCCTGCTTCCTTAAAAGATAATTGTTCATCTAAGGAGATATTACACTAAAACTTCACCTTGCAGTTCACGGGCAACATCCAGCTTATCTCCGATGCTGATAAAGTCACCTCTGTAGCCTTTTCGCTCACCATGGCGTTGACACCCAATCACTACATGGCGACGGAAGGGTTTAGATGATCCTCTCATCCACGTCCCCGCAGGTGTAGAACACAACCTTTCATAATGCTGACGAGACGACATCCTATGACAAGTCACCGATATCCCCATTCCAGTAGTTAGCGAGTTATTCACCATGCATACTTGAGTTCTCGCGCTGTCATCCTCAGCCTAACCACCGCTCATCCATCCTAGCGCTTTGTTAGGGGTAGCTAAACGGCAAATTTCTTCAGCTGAATCTCTTGTTTGATTACAGGCGAAATGGGTGTATTTTGCCAACTTTGTTCGATTTTGTTTCAAGGACAACATAAAGTTGACGTAAATTAGGAGACTGCGCCTACCTGGTCAGCCCCAGGAAGGGCGAAGCTGGTCGTGGGCTGTCGACAAATTTTCAGCAACCTTATGAGTAGCCCATTACAAACTTCATGTGTGCTACTCTAAGGTGTCTATACTTAAGTAAGAATAGTATACAATACATAGAACGAGAATCAAATATTCTTGAGATAGTTTACCATGATGAATAAAAACGTAAACATCTCAGAAAAGCTTTGTACTTTCTTACCAAAGGCGGGCACAGAAGATCAACTAACTCCTTTGAAAGAGGGATAAATGATGGAAATCAAGCATGGATCCAGCTTCATAAAGAAATTCAAACGGTCGTTGAAAATAATAACCATGATNAGCTTGCTTCATAAAGAAATTCAAACGGTCGTTGAAAATAATAACCATGATGTGTGGATTTCTGGGGTGAGCAGATCCTGTTGAGAATGGAGAAAACATCGAGTTTGACCACAACCGAAGCTCACCTTGCTGAATATTATAAGCGGTCTGATTGAAGACGAGATACTGAAAAGCATTGGCTACATGGAAATGGTTAATGAATTACATTTCGAGTTCTATTGGAGTCACAGTAACGGCGGACTGTCAGCAAAAATCATACAAAAATTCTAGGGGCGAGATCGTTGGGCGAGGTATTTCAATTCTGAGGTCGTTAGCATAAACAGTCAGGGTACCTTCAGTAGGACTTCAAAGGAGTGATATATCTTCATCACGGCTGTGGTAGCATGTAGATAGGAGGCGATGAATATCATGTTTGAAGTGTTTGGTGGCATAAGATTGGTAACTGGATTTGCTGAGCGAGAGTGATGGTCTTAATACAGGCAGTCTATTGCTGTATATTTCTAAAACTTGGTTTGGGCGCGGATAAGCACTCTTGTCCTCCGAGTAGCATTGGATCGCCGTCTGCCGAGAGCAGAACTGGTGCTAACGACTAATGGGCTTAATGTGCGAGAGGACGCAGTGCTCGAGACTGAACTGTCTTTTGGGGTACGAATAATGTGAACAATGTGAATATAAGGATATTTAGAGAATGCAGAAAGTTTCTTGAAAGCGTGACAGGGTCTTCCCGGATGTCTTACCGGATGTCCGGTAACGTGAATTTGCCTGAAGCTTTCGTGAGCCAGGTGAGACCTAGTAGTTCATTTGCTGTGGTA